ATTTTCACGCGAGCGATTCAGAGAGTAAATTAATTTCTCTGTTTTTGCCTCGCTCCCTTCAAACAGGGTAATTGCCACTTTTCCGGAAATGACGCCTTTTCACCCCGAAACTACGCGTTATCCGTCTTCCCTGGCATAGTGTTCGATAAATCCTTCAACCAAGTAAATTGAAAATCCCTTCACGCCATCGTACGTTCATTAGTTGCGAAAAACAGGATTCGTTGGTTCAGGCAAATGATTTTTATCGCCTCGTTTAACGATGCTGTTCCACTCTGAAATTGCTATAGTTAATTATAGTACGAAAGTGAGGCGAGTCGATGTAGAGATAAAACAAACATGGACCCAAATTCCCCATTTCTGATAATATCAAATAATTTTTAAATTAAAAATGTTGCTGGTTTATGATGTACAGAGAAATATAGTAAATTAATTACGAGAAAACTCGATACTTTTTAGTCGACTCGTGTGTACAGCAAATGTAAATATCCTTGATTGAAGTTGGTATATTTTGGAAAAAATATGGCGGTATTGAAGCGTATTTCAGTATACGAATCTCCTTTTAACGACAGTATTAATTTAGAGACAATACCTCGGATATCAATATATGTTTTCTTCATTTGAATGTGTAGTGTTTTTATTCAAGAGTTTTTACAATTACCAAAATTCTTCTCACACTCCGTTTTTCAATTTTTAATTTTTATGTAGACACGCGTGTCTGAAAACAAAATATATGTGTATAACTTAAGCGACTTCCATAATCACTATTACATATAGATACTCTCCCTAGCAATATTCCTTCTTATTTTTCAATATTTATTTCAATCGCGTTATATTTGATAAATTTTCCATTATTTTTCAAGCGCCTGAACTCGAATTTCACGCGTGCGATTCTATTCGCGATCCAAAAAATTTTCCATCTATCATAGAGGATGAGAGAGGGAGATATATATATATATTTTACGCGTTAAAATAATAAACAAGTTGGGTAATTGTTCGAGACAGCGGTGAAATCATCGGTTCTCCTTTTTCTATCGAAAAAGTTCAGTATACTGCATTAAAGTTCATCCCGGAAGTTTGGCCTGCAACTCGCCAAAAGTGGCGAACAGTTTGAAACTGTATCCCCTGGTCGAACTCGGGAACACTTATGGACCGTTTTACCGGGAATCTTTCCCTGACGTTTCGAGATTAAAAATCGCTGGAGAAAATAGACGACCAATTGGCTGCTTCTCCGATTCGACAGCTGCGATTTCAATCGCGTTTTGTACCCTACGAGACAAACAAGGGACGGCGCAATTTTCCTTCCGTCGAATTATCATGCCAGGTACAATTAGGATTAGGAGGCTTCGAAAGAACGATCGAAAACTCATTTCGATATGCGAATTATCAACTGCTTGTCAGCAAGTAGTTCCTTTCCCATCGATCATTGAGGGAGATAGCGAGTACTGTGGTCTAGTGATCTAATGATCTCTTTGTTATGGGTTTAACTAAAGGGCATAATCGGTTTGATAGTCATCGCTATTCACGATAACGTTAATTTTAATTAAAGACTGTAGGAATTTTCTTTATTGGCTCGCTTTTCCTACGAAATAACTCTAGAAATCTATATATCTGTAAATAACACTGACCTGACGACTACTCTAGCGACTATTTAATAACCAATTTCATAACTCACTGGTAACTCCTTAGTAACTAACTCTCTGTCTAGCGGGCCCTTTTAAAGCCCGTCTAGAGGACAAGCGCCTCCCCGAAGGAGGAGAAACTCCCTCTACGCCAAGGTCAGGGTTGGATGGGACTCCTGTCTTCGAGTTAGCCCCTCCGAAGGTTCCCCCACGCGAGGACCCTCCCCGAGAGGTGACTACGGCCGCGCCATCTTTGGCTTATGCGAGGGGAAGCCAGGGTTGTGGAAGGCCACCTCACGTGACCTGGTCCTGACCTCCTACGGCCCATGTGGCAGCCAACGGGTCCTCTGGACCTAAATTCCAAACGAGGACACTCTACCCTAATAAAGCACTGTCTCTCATTTACTATTCCTACACGAATAATTCAGAATTTCTATTATCGTCCATTCTATAGCAGAATTGCTATTTCCCTGTGACGAATATGTTGCCGAGTGCGAAGGGTTAAAATTCGAGTACCCTGTCGTCGTAATTATCTCAATGAAAATGTTTCTACCACATAACTATCTAGACACGCGTTTCTTCGGCTGTCCATCTTCTCACGAAGCTGGTGAAAAACTCAAGGAAAATAGCAGCGATAACAATAATCCTGGATGTTCTGGATAACAGCTGTCAACGACTAAAAGGCCTCCATAAATTTCGGAAACGAGCATTTTCCCGGTTTTATGACGCTGTCAGTCAGCAGTCGCGACGTCTGAGCACACGGTGCAACATCCGATCACAAAGCGAATGCTGTATCAACGGTGAAATTTACGCTGACGCCCGCGATTCAATAACGAACCAGTCGTCTGTTATCGGGACAATTTATCTTTCCAGCGGTGTACATTAAGAAATTCATCGGGGAGCTCGTTCGATAAACAGGCCAGTCGAATTGGGTACACGTCGCGATGGTACCCGGCAGGGAAACAAAGGACGATACGAGCGATTGTAGCAAGTATCAGCGAGCAAAGGGCTTTGTCAGGCCTGCAGTAGGAACAGATTCGCTTGGGAAGTTCACGCAGCAACTATGACGCGCTACGCAGATAAAAACATGGACATTTATCACCTGGACTGCGAGCCACCAGTTGACTGGCGTTTTAATCGAATACGCGAGTCAGGCCGTTGCAAAAAGAACACACGGAACTCGGAGTCACTGACACTTTGCTAGGACTGTGAGCTACTGTGTGAGAAATACGAAGTTAGACCTGGAGGTGTGTCCAAATATTGGGTTGGCAACTAAGTGATTGCGGATTTTGTCAATAGATGGCTTTTGCACATTCCTTTGTTTTGTCAGCGTGTTCAAGGTACCTAACTTATATCGTTTTCATGTTGTTTGGACTTCCGCCTTTAATTTAGTTGAAAAATTGTATCGATTAGTTATTTAGTTTCGTTTTTATCTCAATTTAAAAATGGAAGGGCAAGACGCGCATTTCGGACATATTTTATCGTTTTATTTCCGAAAAGGCAAGAACGCATCGCAAGCACGCAAGAAGTTATGCGCCGTATATGGGAATGAAGCCTTTAAAGAAAGACAGTGTCAAAATTGGTTTGCCAAATTTCATTCTGGTGATTTTTCACTGAAAAATGAGCAACAATCTGGCCGTCCAGTTGAAGTTGATGAGACCCATATCAAGGCCATTATCGATTCAGATCGTCATAGCACAACACGTGAGATTGCAGAGAAGCTCAATGTATCGCATACATGCATTCAAAAGAAATTAAAACGGCTTGGCTATGCCAAGAAACTCGATTTATGAATACCTCATCGGCTTAAGGAAATTCATTTGACGCAACGCATTAGCATCTGCGATTCGCTTCTGAAACGCAACGAAATTAATCGATTTCTGAAACGACTGATAACTGGTGACGAAAAGTGGATAGTTTATAACAACGTTAATCGGAAAAGATCGTGGGTGATGCAAGATGAACCAGCCCAGACGACACCAAAATCTGAGATTCAGGATAGTTTATAACAACGTTAATCGGAAAAGATCGTGGGTGATGCAAGATGAACCAGCCCAGACGATACCAAAGTCCGAGATTCACTAAAAAATTTTGCATTTTCCTTTTTATTTAAAATCCGCTATCACTTAGTTACCAACTTGATACTTCAGCTTGCGTGAACATTCGTCCTGACCATAGATCAGGTACCTATTGCTATTTAAAATTAGCCTGAATACTTGAACCTAAATTTAGATACAAATATGTAGTATCGCAGAATTTCCATCTTGTGCATAGGTGACTTTAGTTTGGAAGGTCGCCGAGGGTTCGAGGGCCTGGTCGGTTGGAAAAATCCCGGCGATGCGTCAGGCCCTTAGCATGACCATATTTAGTCATGTTGGGGACGATATAAGGGAAGGCAAAAGTGGTTAGCGTACAGTTCTTGTGTAGAGTTTTTGAGGAGTCTTTAAACGGAGTTGTATACAAAGAAGTATAAGTTGTTAGTCGTTTAGTTGTATTTGTGTTGTGGAATCAAGCTGTAATCTTAAGTTGTAGTTGTAATAGTTGATCTATCTATATTCGTAGACTTTATCGTAACCACACATTGTCAATCCATTATTATTAATTAATAAATAGAGTACTATTATTTAACCACCACCCATAGTCTCCACAAATATGGGAGTAAGTGTGTACGTACTTGGAATGAAGAGGAATGCTACTACGTTGCTTATAAATATGTATTTGCAGAAGTTTTGTGATCCTCTATCTCTGAAATGATTAAATCCCAGCTTTAACCCTTAAAATCACTTGGTAATTCTTCCTTAATTGCATTTGGGTGTATATAGCTTTAGATTTGGGGACCCCTCGACGTCACAGTTCTCACGACATTGGAGACACCTAGCGTCAAAATTCCCGCGACGCTAGAGACATCTGGCGTCAAAGGTGTTTCGACGTTGGAGACATCTATTGTCAAAGTTCTCACGATACTAGGGACATCTATCGTCAAGGTTTCCTTGTTGCTAAAGACGTCTGGTGTCAGGTCTCCTTTGGTCAGAGATTTCATGGCACCAGCAATGCGATATATTCAAACTCTTAATATTCAAATTTCTCTGAAACTCGCAATTCACATTTATTCACGATTCGCACCTTTTTCGATGTATTCGCTCGGTAGATGGCGAGCCGGTATTCTGAATCGAACGACTATTGTTCTTACGACTGTATATATACATTTCTTGCGCGTACAAGCAGTTCTGGTCTCTTTGCTGTTTCCGAACACTAACGAATGGAGTCTGTTCTTCCTTTACTGAAATCATTGTCAGTTGGAAAAGCGATAACGAGGAAGTTGGCGCTTTCAATGTGATTTAATCGTCGTTTCATTGATTTCCAGGGGCGCACAGCTACAACATGCCGCATGGAGGCAGTGGGAAGAACAGCAACGCTCATCAGAACAGTCTGGATGACAGTGCACAATCTCGACCGTACTTCGACATATCGAATTCGAAGAACGTGACCACCATCAAGGGCCAGACTGCGTACTTGAATTGCCGCGCGAAGAACTGGCGAAACAAGACGGTAAGTGAACAATCCAATATGATTGGGGATCCATCTCACCGAGTCGTGCTACGGGATCTTGAGATATCAAATTTAGGGCTGGATAAGTGCGAGACTTGAAAGCTGTTCATTGCTGCTAACAGATTAATCATTTTATCCACCAACTTATTTTTGTCGCTATAAACCGATCTCGAGAATATATTTCTGCAAAAACTGTTCCACGAGAAGGGAAACATATTTCACAAATTATGTTTCCCTAGATGATCGAAAGCGATGGAGAAAGGTTTCAAAGTCAAAATCAGTTCCTTAAACGAAACACTAGACAAAGAAAACTTAGCTGAAACTTCTGAACTCGTAGAAGGAAGCTTCTCATAATAAAACTTCCTGAGTACCTATCAAATCATCTGCTTGGCTAACTTTCCAATAGACGCTGAAATATTTATTACAGCCATAATAATAAAATTAATATAATAATGCGAATGAAAGAATACACGTGACTTCTGAAAGAATTAATGAAATCTCGGTATGAACATTCCATAGCATCTATCAAGTCATCTTCTTGGCAAACTTTGCAGAAGACCAGAAATATTGTTATGCTTTCTATAATTATTCTGAAGTATTTATTACAACTGTCATTATGAAATTGACATAATAATGGGAATAAAAGAAGACGCGTGACTTCTGAAGTAATTAATTAAATCTCGGTACCAGCATAAACTTACTGGAGTTTCGAAGGCTTCGTCGAACGCGCAATTGCCATTCGCAAAGTGCAGTTATGCAAATAGCGACATCCCTTTAAAATATCACGAACGACGGTGCTCGTGACAACAGTCGCCGTGGAACATCAAATATTTGTTAACGTGTATTTAGACGTGGATTGAATCGACGGGGTCATGTGCTGCGGCGCTTTGAGCTTAATCTGGGTCAACGGTGGAGATGATTAAGGACCCTCGATTCACGATCCGGCGGAACAGGCTACGCCTGGTATTAATTATTCAGGGTTAACCCTTTCTGCTCGACACTTACCGTGTTACCCCCGACAACCGACTGAATGCTCGAAAAAGGCCATCCTGCCTGCAACGTCTCCTACTCATCCGGGAGAAAAATGCAGTCAAGGATAACGCGATCGATTCGACGTACCGATGTTCAACGTTCGAATGAAAAAGTGGAACGAATACCAGCTGTAATTCCAATGTAATTGATAAGAGTAACAGGGGGTGTGCACGTGTGTGTAGCGAGTCGAACAGGGTGATCGATACCCGCGCTGTGGATTTCTGAATGGGGCTTCTGAGAGAGGTGCCAGCCACGATGTCGAAGAAAATATGGTCCTTTTTTCCATTTCGTCCTCTTCCATATCGCGTCAAGTTGGAAATAAGACACACCAGGTGGAGCAGCAGTGGAATAAAAATTTAAATATAAGCTTGAAAATATGCCAATGTGAAACATTTTTGAACGGAACTGTAGTTTGGGAAATAATTCAATGCATACCTTCAAATGGGACACCCTGTGTATCAAATTTTGATTAACTGACATTAACAATTGGCCCTGACCGTCAGCCAGTCGGTGGTAGATAATAAAGACGGTCACTCTTGATCCAGAACATGCAAAGAATGATATAGTGTAAATCCAAACAGACCCACGCGTCACCTTCCAGCTGCACCGTTCACTAGCCAAAAGTTATAAATTAATAAAATCTACTGTACAATCTACAATGACTATTGTCACTGCGAATGCATAAGGAGCAATGATAATAGATACCGATTAATTCGGAGGATGTATAATTTATAGCCCAAAGATGATCCACCATCACGCAATACGTGAGAACTACCAAAGCGCATTGTTGCCGGGGAGATAACATTTTGTAAGGAAATTGGACGACAGTTTGTCGATAAACTGCAGGACAGCTTAAAAGCACCGGACAACGCTAAACGGGGGGCAGAACGCAGGGAAATTAAAATAATTGCCGCGCGCATTTGGCGTCTGAGAGAATAAGGGGCGAAATTAATATCGACGAAAGGCTACAGGCAAGCGGGCAAAAAGCGTGGACCTCCATCACGAAGATGGGCTTACGTGTAAACGTTTTTCCCTCCGTGCTGAGTGCAGGAAAATATCGAGTGTCAATATTTTACCGACACAATGGATCGTCACCTGTCTGTAGCAAACTGCAAGGGATGCATCGGAAGTGCACTTGGTCGCCGCCGACCTTTCCACCCTGCCATTGTACAAAGTGCAGCTGCCCCACCCGGTATATGTACTATGCTTATCCTTCCGAAATCTCCGACAAATATGAACGGGGATTTTAATTATAGCGCATTCACTGGCCACGCGTATCTGCAAATGGTACTTGCGTAGGTTTATTTACAAGGATGCGTGTTAACCCTTTGCACTCGGCGATCTTTTCGTTATAGAAACGTAGTAATTCGAAAACTTTCTGCCATAAAGTCGGTGATATTTTCAAAACGGTAAATAAGTGCAAATTAACAATAAGTCGTAGAATTATTTTATATCGTTATTCCACGTGTCGTAGGGCAATTTTAAATTCGAAATATTAATTAATAACGATCTTTCGAATCTGATTAAATGGCGACTGAGAGTCGCCTCTCGAGTGCAAAGGGTTAAGATTTTGTATGGCAGATTGAAAACGTTTGAACTTTTAATATATTATTTGAAGGAAGTAAGTTTTCTATGTGACTTCGTATAGTTTGGAGATGAAGTTTTGACTCGGTTGTTTCACGAGGTATTCCGAAATATGAGTTTGGGGGCTGTTTTCACCCTTTAATATGGACAATGGTTGATATATAAGAATATTATTATTTCTATCTATTTCGGTTCAAATTTTTCATATACTTTCATGTCGCTTACATCTTTATCCTTCGAATGTTCCTTTTAGATTAATGTACAAATTTTAATAAATTGAGGTAATACCAGTAAACTGTTAGGAAAAAAATGTCTAACATTTTCAAAACGGTTGCTCGGGAAGGGAATGTGGAGTAACGATAAATCTTCGAAGATTAACGTGTTTTATTCAAATTCTTGTGTTACTTTTTCAGACAAATTTATGCGTATAGAAGAAGCGTGGGGAGGAATTCACGATCGTAATTCATGTAACCGTATTTTATGAGACTTTCTTGCTGCTGCCTTGGGAGAGATTAGATCGTCTGGATTATTCACGGTTTATTCCGCGATTCGAGGATACCAAAAGGTGTGAAGTGCCACTATCGACTTGATTTTCCACTTGTTGAAAGGAAATAAAAATTATTTTTCAACATTCAAACATTCGAATAGTTTACAGTACAATTCGTAGGCGTTAACCCCTGCATTACGATATAATTATGAAATATTGTTTAAATTTAGTTAACTACTATGCACTTCACATATGCCATCGAGAATAAAATTAGGTGAAAATTTTAGAAATTCTTCGAATTTTGGACTTGTTAAAGTATTTTGCGTATAGTTATGGTCGCGTGATAAATGTAGCTTAGAACCTTAGAACCTTATAAGCGATTTTGTTAATATTGGAATAACAACTAGGATAATTGATTATAGGAGATGTTTGTTACATCCAGGATCGTTGATCCAAACGCATAGATTTATTTCCTGTTCTGGGTTTTAATGCCCCTGTTAACCTTTGACGTTACTAACTAACATCGTTACCAACTAACCACGATCCTATCGCGAACGTTGCACGCCAAATTAATCTTGGGCAACTGGTTTGATCGAATGAGCGATGAACTGGTTCAACATGGAAGTTGTGACTTATTCACCAACAACTTTCATCATTTTGTTCGTTCTCTGAATATGATTTACTGAATATACCACCAAAACTCACGAATACACGAAGTAATGATGAAAACTTCTTCACATTTTTCATGAAAGCTTGAAAGCCTAAACAAAATTTAAAATTATTTCAAAATTTCTTCCTATTTAGCGTAATAGGAACTTCGTACAATTGTGTTGAGCATATATTAAAACGATCTTGTCAGAAATCGATCAACTACCAACGATACATTTTGATCGAAAAGTAAGAAAACAGTTCAACGACATATACGACGCTTACAGTACGCTCGTTGGAGTTACGGGTCGCGGTGGCGCTAGTGAGTTAAGTACGAAATCGTCCCAAAGCATTCACGAGCAACAAAAGATGAATCAACGTGACATTTGAGTTCCTTACAGTGTAATAACGATGCTTTCGACAATTATTACAACAATACATCGCTTCTGAAAATTCTTTCTGACAAATCAGAACTCCATGCTTGTAATAAATACATATATTGCAAATACTACACACATCGTTCGCGAGTCTGATCTCAATACACGTTCTTTCCGCAATACATAGTTGCTCTCGAATATTTTTGCTCGCAACAAATATATTGCAAATACTGCACACAGTTATATACGTCGTTTAAACGCGCGCGAGCGAACTCGGGAACTCGTGTACACACCTTTTAAGGCGAGACAATCCGGATTAATCCGTAAATTGAAAAAACAGGTAGCGATGGAAGATTCGGTGTTTGGTCGCGAAAAAGTGGTCTAACCGTGTCCAGCTCATTCATATGTATAACCTAACCTTGTTCCGATTGGGTTCTGCTCGGGAGCAGCGCGTTGCTTCGAAATTCGCGTCGGAGATACAGTCAGTTTCTAACCGCGACGGGTTGCTGGCGAAATTTTAATGATGCTGCGTACGATCGGCCGACGCGGGTGCTTGCCAAGCTTGCGGGAAATTGACTCGAGTAATTATGCTCGCGCGCGCGCGTTCTCCGCTGCTCGGCACTCGCCGTTAACAGTCGAGCCATCGTTTCTAACTTTTCTTCCTTCCCCGCGACAATTAACAGGCGAAATAACGCCGCGATAAACGCGTCGTGCAACCCTCGTATGTAATTGGATATGCTTGAAACAGGAGTGGGGAGGCGATTAAAGGAGACTTTCTGGCACAAAATTTTGACCTGGCTCTAGCTCGCTATACGCGTCGCTATGTGGATAGATCAAATTCGAATTGGTGGAATTTCTCTTGGAATTTTAAT